ATGTGCTTTCAAGTTGGCAGGAACTTGGACAATGATGTTGGAAACATCTCTGTTCTAACATTCAGCCTCATACCAGCCCCCAGACAGGGGGTTCTGGCTTGGCCTCTTGTAGTTGGTAATTTTCATTATTATTGTTTTATGAGGGGAGGATGGAAAAGGGAGAAGAGAGAATTTTTTTTTTTTAATATCTCCTGCATGCCAGGTCCATTCTCAGGTAATTAAGCACATTCTCATGCTTGAAGTGGGGCTCGGTTTTCCTACGGAAGCATCCATGAGCCTCAGGCTCTGGCATCTCCCGCCTGAGTGTCTGTGTCTTTCTGACGTCGCTGGGAAAAGCAGTGTCTTCATTTTAGCCACTGTATGACCCAGCAGGTAAGCGTGTAAGTTCTGGAGCCCAGTTGCCTGGGTTCAAATCCCAGCACCTCTGCTTACACAGCTGGGAGAGCTTGGCTAAATGACTTGCTCTCTTTAAGCCTCGGTTTCCCAATTTGTAAATGGGTATTGTAAGAGTATTCAATCCTCTCTGGATGAGGTAATCCCCATAAAGCGTACAGCAATGCAGTCCTGGTGTAAACTCTATTGGATGATAAATGGGAATTGATTCTTTCCCATTATTTACTGGTTTTCAAAATAATGTGTTAGTTCTCCAGAATCCTCCAAAGGTGACTGATGGCTTTTTTAAAAAAAATTATTTTGTGTACTATTACAAACTCCTGAGGAGGGTGAGTATAGCTCAAGTGGTAGAGTGCATGCTTAGCATGCATGAGTTCCTGGGTTCAGCTCCCAGTACCTCCATCAAAAATAAGTACATAAATAAACCTAATTACCTCCCCCATCAAAAACAGAAAAACAAAAACCAAAATCCTGAATTTCAGCGTGTTTGATGTGTTTTAATCTATTGTCCTTCCTAATACTCCAGTTGTCCCCTGTTTGGCCACTGGGCACTCCAAGTTGCTCCTGGGTGTTTTGGACACAACCCTAGCAGTCTATGATAAATTCCTTGTTTTCTGGGACAAGATGCTCTAGGTTTCTCCTGGGCATTTTCTCCCCCGGCCACAAAATCAGCTGTTTCACCAGGAGCCCTGGGTCCTTTCAGTGGGAAATGGTATTTGGAGGCCACAGTCTGGGGTCCCCAGGACTCCTTGCTGTTGTCAAACCCAAGTTCGTGTGCCTGACACACAGTGAGGCCAAACAAACCAAAGCGTCGGAGTTTGGAGCAGAGGAGATTTATTGCAGGGCCCAGCGAGGAGAACGGAAGCCTCGTGGCTTAAAATCCCAAACTCCCTGATCTCCCTGATGGTTTTTGGGAAAGCTTTTTTAAAGGCCAAATCTGGGGTGAGGGCTACGGGGTGTGTGACTTTCTTCTGATCAGATGGTGGTGAGATAATGGGGTGAGGTCTCCAGAATCTCAGCTTTCTGGTTCCAACCAGCGCGGAGGTCTCCCTGCCTGTGGTCAGCAGGCAGTCGGCACCCGCTGCCTGGGTGGGGGTCTTAGTTTCTGCAGAACTCAAGGATCTGTGTCATATCGTTATCGATGTCCCTTCAGGAGGAACTAGGAAGCCTATGACTCTTACAACTGCTTGAATCTGCTTTTTGGAACTAGGGGAAGACCTAGGACACTAAAGTCTTTTTTTTTTCTCTACAAAGAAGGAAACAGGGGGCACGGAGGGGTTTTTGTAGCTGGGAGAGTCCCACAGGGTCCCGCTTGGTTTCAAAGTCACTTGAGAACGTTCTGTGTGATTATGCCACCAACTGCATACCCAGACAGGTTTCTTTTGTCTTTTGAATTTTAGGGAATGCTTTTAAAATTATTCGTTTTGTTTTATAATCATCTAGAGCACTGACAGGTGAGAGTTGAATTTTATCTTAGCCCTGTGCTCCTGAAAAAGTGGCTTTAAAGAAATACTCTTCACCCTTTTGTGTTCCAAAAAAACCCCCCAGCTCACTGCAAAGAACCTCCCTTCCCACTGAGATAAGACCCATGGATGCCTAGGACAAGACAAGACACAGGCCCTCCCAATTCCCAGTTTTTGCCGCATAGATGATTAGCTGAATTGTCAGTCCTCATTGACCCTTTGGAACAAAATGTCAACCCAGTTTTGGTTGTTTCTCTCCTTCCTCCAGTCCCTGAACTCTGGCCCACTCTCAGCCGGAGCCAGCACACAGCCCCTTGGAGAATAGGCTGGGCTTGGGGTAAAGCATTCTCTTCTAGAAAGAATGAGGGCGGGGAAGCGGGATGCGAGGCGGCTTGTTGACCCCCTCCGTGACGAAAACCCCCTTTTCCCAATCCCTGAGCCCTTGCAGGTCTCATGGTCAAAGCGACCTCTCTTCTGCGATATTCTCCATCCCCCCGTTGCAATAAGCCCTTCTTCCCTCCTTTGGAAGAATCCTTTTGAATAAAAGTCTCCCTTCACCAAATCCAGATCTGTTTATTTGACCCCTGACTTTCAAAGTCAAATCTACAAGATAAGCACGTTCAGAGAAGTCTGGCTCTTTAATCTGTCCCTCACCCCATTTCCCTCTTGGCTACCGCTCCCTCTAGGTAACTTTTTTCTCTTTTAGCTTTTGATTTTTCCTTCCATTTAAAAAAATTTAAGGCAACAAGGTTACACATTGCATCTTTGCTCCCATTTTTAAGGCACAAAGGTGGCCAACCACACACTTCTTCCCATTTATAGGTAAGAGCCTCAACCACGTGAACCCTCTGCTGTTTCAGTTTGACAGGCTGTCAATAGGGGAACTGTGGGGTCAATGAGATTTCAAGATGAAAGCACTTTGTAAATTAGTAGCCCTCAGACTTGAGCGTGTCCCTGAATCACCTGGAGGGCCTGTTAACAGATCCCACTCAGAGTTCCTGATTCAGTGGACCTGGGGTGGGGGTGAGAATTTGCTCAGGTGAGAAGTAGCTGGTAGACTACTGCTGCTGGTCTGGGGCCCAGACTTTGAGAACCGCTGGTATGAGCCACCCTAAAGAGCAGGACAAACGTACATGAGTGTTACAAAGACATCTGTACCTCTGAATGCAGGGCCTAAGGGGCTTGGCAGTGGGGATGCAGGTCCTGGCTTGGCTTCAGATCCTGGCCTGACGTTCCAGTTTGGGGTTCTCGAGGACGTCTCTCAAAGGTAGTCCATGGACCAGCAGCTTCTCCCGGGAGCTTGTTAGAAATGCAGACCCTGACCGAGTTCTACTGAGTCAGTCTGTAGTTTACGAAACACCCAGGTAAGGCTATGCTCCTTCAATGTGAGGGGCATTGGCCTAAGTCTGTGTGCCCTCTTGTTTATCTATACCGGCTGGGGGGTGGGGTAGGGTGGGGGTGATGCCCCCTGGAATGCAAGCTGGAGAGGGCAGGGACTTTGTCTGATTTTGTTCTGGGGCAGAGCTGCCGGCATCAGCCGACCCCGGCCAGGCAGTGTTTGGTTGTAGGAGCCCTGACTTGCTGCCGTTTGAGTGTCGGTCCCCAAGGGCCCCCTCTTTCCTTTCTCTTCGTGGTCTCCAGGGGTGGCAGGTAGATACCACCCCCCCGGGCCCCCTCCCAGAGGGATAGTGGCTTGAAGCTTCTTGGTGCCCTGGGGGTGCCCACTTTGAGCTTCTCCTGGAAATGAATTAGAGGCCATTTCAGCCCTCACTTACCCTATCCATGCTGCCTGGAGTGAGAGGCGGGGAAGGGCCTGGAAGGGTGGAGGAGGTGAGGGAGGGCCGCTGCCTGCCCCCAGCCCACCCCATCTGCCTGGGAAGGGGCCGGAGTTTCTCCCTCAGCCCGTGTCCCAGGCCGGCTCAGGCACGGGAGGTGTCTGGGATGGTGGGAGCAGGTCCCAGAGAAATCACTGGGGCCAAGGAGAGAACTGCCCCTGTGAGGAGGGACGCTCCCCATCCCGAGGACGGCACCCCGTTCAGACGCTCAGAGCTTCTCCCACCCCTCCGTTTTCTCCAGGTGAGGTCTCCCTTGGTTCTTCAGCTGGCAAGGCCCCCCCATCCCACCCCATTGTCACCAGCACCTCTTTCTCCAGTTCTCAACCCCCCCAACATCCTCCCCAGTCCTTTTCTCTCATCAGGGAAGACACCTGTTCCGGGAGCCAGGGGTAAACATTATTCCAATTCCTACCTTCCCTGTGAGACGGGTCAGTTCGAGCCTTGACTCTCAGCTCAGGGCCTCTCTCCACCAGGCATTGGGACTGCAGCCAGCTCTGAGGCTGGGCTGAGGGTGCCATGTGTGTGGGTCTATGACCCCCTGTCCTGAGGTCAAAGATAGCTAGGGTGACTGTGTCCTCCAGGGCAAAGCCCTCTGTTCTGGGCATCACGTGTCCCCCTGAATCCTCCAGGAGCCCCACCGTTCAGCTGTTATCCCATTTTACAGATGAAGCCACTGAGGCTCGGAGTTACGCGACCACTCAAGATCATACCGATGATCAGTGAGGGTTTATCTGAGCCCAAAGTCCTGCTCATTGTACCACTAAGCCAAGCTAGTAAAGGGGGACTGATGGGGTCTCGATTTCTAGATTGGAACTGGGTTCTGAGGCACAAGCACCATCCTGCCGTGCTGGTGACCCAGTTCTAGCGTGTGGCTCGGTGAAGGCTGAACAGCCAGAAGAGGCCCTCTCTGCGGAGCCCACCTGAGTCATGGCCTCCATCAGGGAAAACCCGCAGGTGGAGGTGCCCCATCCGACATCTGGATGCTGGCACTGAGCAGCCCTCTGGCCCCTCTCCTGCTTGGTACCATGTGGCAGGAACACTTGTGGAGTCATCTGCTGGGTTTGGGATCAGAAACCAGTCAAACTGGAAAGGGCTCAGGTGGTCTCCTTAGGCCCTGCACCCTGGAGCTGGGCCATCTGTGGGCAGGTCAGGGGTGGTAAGTGTGCGGGCAGCTTTGTGTGGGGCCGAACCATCCACCTGAGAAAAGGTTACCGCAAAGACTGAAGCAGCAGGTCCTGGAGGCTTGAGGGCAGCTGTCATCTGCAGAAGGAACAGAACAGCTCAGCAGAAGGAAAGAAATGCAGCCGTATTTTCATTAAGGAATTTATTTCTCTTTAAAAAAACAACAGTGGTTCGATCTAGATACAGCAGCACTGTGACATATTCGACAAAATATACAAAGATTCAGAGCAGCAGGGAAACAAAAGCCGTTATCTTCAGGAATGCCCTCCAAAGTGGAGCTATGTTTATTCATCAATGTTAAAATCTCCCTGAAAAAAAAAATGGAAACCTTTGGATACTAGAAGGATCATTATTTCAACACTACCAACAGCCACTAAGCTCTTCTAATTGAGAACAATCGCTTTTGATCTATTACGAAAAAGACTTATTGATGGACTGGCAAAAGACATCTAGATTCTTCTTTTGGAAAATGTCTTTCCCTCTGGAGGAAAGCTAGCCTCTCAAATGTTTTAACCACTGTCCACAACACAAGCCTTTAAAGTTAGATCAGACGAGGCACTCGCGCCTGAGCAGGGTCTGACTCGCACACACTGGATCTTCAGAAGCTGGGCTGGTTGGTTGATTAAGCAGGTACAGGAGGTGCCTCGGTGGATGAGGTGTCACCATCGTTGTCTGTTGTGATCAGAAAGAAGGGAGCTCTCTGCCGTTCATGACTCCGTCACTTGGCAATGCACAAGGATTCACTTTCGATACAAAGGCTAAAAAGTTAGGAGATCCTGTCTCAGAGAGTGGAGCTATGAGAGGAGACAATCAGAGGGGTTGCTCCGGGATGTGTGAGCACACAGCAGCCCAAGAGGAGAGCCGGGCATCACCTCAGTTGGCATTTCCTCTTCATCTTGGTGGACTTCTAGTGGTCCATGAGGCCGCTGCTCCCTCTGGCAAGGCCTGGGATGCCAGGATCAAGGAGGCTGCAGTGCCCTCTCTGTACGGAGGTCTGGGCCAGCAGCTCACGTGAGAAAGTTGGTGGGAGACCTTTGGGGAAAGGACAGGGGTGTGGAAGAATAAGGGGGTACTTCCATGGTGGGCTGGGCTCCTCCAAGCCGCATGGAGACCCCAAGCTTCTCGGAGGGCAGGCCCTCAGCATCATCAGGGCTTGTGAGGGTCAAGGGCAGGTGGCCACATCTTACTTGTGCCTTCAATGCCAAGGCCACGTCCAAATAATGTGTCTCCAGAACTCGCTGCCATCTCCCCAGCAGGCTGCCCGAGAAGCGTGCCTCCACCAGGCCACACTGCTTCCACGCAGCACAGCCTCCGAGACCAAGTGCTCCCCTTGGCTAAGAGCAGTGTATCTCGGGAAACAAGCCCTCCAGGGGCTGCTCAAGACAGAGCAACACTTGGCTACCGTGCAAGTGAGTCGCTCTCACAAGAAGCTCATGGTTTATGAAGTGATGTTCCTGGCCTAGAAAGATAAGAGGTTGAATTGATGTGGGAGGTGGTGTCATCCTCCATGAAGGTGGGGTTGGGTCTTCGTGATCTTATGGGTGATATCATGGGGGCCCCCGCCGGGGACAGCGGCTTGTCTCCAGAAAAGTGGAAGCAGAGATAATGCTGCAAGACCCTGCATCTCACCTCAAAAGCACAAAGTCGGCGAAGGTCCAGCGAGAAAAAACATTACACTTGGAGGAAGAAAGCTCTTCTGCGAAGAGCTCAAATGCAGTAAAAAAAAATATTTAAATCCACTCACTGTCCAAACACGCCTCATCCTGATAAGTGGATGGTGGAAAGGTGTTTTTTATTTTAATTAAAAAATCTTTTTAAAAATGCAGCTATAGAAAACAGGCTGGAGTAGAAGTCAGAGGGGAGGGGTGGTCCAGGGACAGGAACTGTGGTGACCGGGGACCTGATGGGGAGGGGGCTGACTTTCAGACACTGCTAAATGAAGATGTCCCTCTGTACAAAGCAATGGGCCAAAAGGAAGAGGACTGCAAAGGCCAGTGACTCAACTTCGCGTCCTCTGGGCAATCATGGGGCAGGTGGCGAATGTGAAGGAAGATCGCCGTTATTCTAAGGGCCACGCAAAGCTCTGTGCCTTAGCATCTGTGGTCTCATGACGCAGAAACACTGAGCAGATGCATGTTTTTTTCTTGCTCCTTGAGGATTCTCTGCTGAAAATGGACAGTGTGTTGGATTTGAGGAGCAAAGAGACTGGCTTCTTCACACCATGCACCTGGACAGGGTTGGGTTGCTGTGAGTTGGGCAAAATGAATGAAACTTCTGGACCAGAGGGTGGGACGGTCCCAGGAAGATGATTGTCCTTTTTCTTAAGAAAGGAGGGTCAGTAAGAGTTGGGAATCTTAAAATACTGGCCAAAGAGCTCTCCACTTCCTCAACAAAAATTGAATATGGCTGTTTGTATTCATCTTGTATTCAGCCCAAGAAGGGTGGGGGAAGCAGCCCCAGAGACAAGAGCTGGTCTCCAAGAAAATAACACTGCATATTAAAGGGATCCAAGCGAGGCCCAACTGTTTCTTTTCTCCCCTTTGTTTGTAAAATGACCTCAAGACAGTCAGTTGCAAAGGTCAGGCCCCTTTCTCGCAGTGTGCCCCGGGGCCCAACGGCACACTCGGGAAGGAGCATGGAAATTGGGACACAAGGCTGACATACTGGCTTCTCTCCTCCCTAGAAGCTCAGGCTCCATAGCTGCCCAGTCACCTGGAGAAATAAGCATGGGAGGGTCGCATCCGAAGTCCCACCAACGGCCTGAAGTAGTGATTCGCACACTCCAGGGTGCAGCAGAATGACCCAGAGAGATGCAGATCCCTGGGCCCTACTCCCAGAGAATCCCAGTCCGTAGGTTTGGGGTGAAGCCCAGAATTTGTATTTAAGTTGGAGATGCCGCTGCAGGAAGTGCAGCACCCACACCTGGAGAACCCAGGTCTGACTGAGGCGAACTCAGCAGGCAGGGGAGCTCGGGGAGGCAACCACTCACCCCGCCCTGGAGAGGAGGCAAAGGAGGGTTTGCTCCTTGTCGCCTTGTAGAGGCAGCAGGGAGAGGCCGGCGGCTCCCTGGGGCTGGGCAGCCATGCTCAGAGGGCCCCGGGACTGCCCTCCGAGGCCCTGGTCTGGCAACGCTGAGTCCTCCTGGGGCAACTTGTGCCTGGAGCTTTGAGTTGCCTGATTAGCACTCACCTCTGCCCCCACTGCTCCCACAAGTGACAGTGAGTTTGTCTTGAGCTTCTTTGGTGGCCTGGCCTCTCCTTGGGCATCTCACTTGCTTGAAGGGCCAACTCCACCCATCCATGCCACCCGGGCCAGTGAATCTGTGGGGCCCTGTGAAGCTCTCAAGACCCCATGACCCCGTAAACACTCAGGGAACGTGCCCAGAGATCCTGGGTGAGCCTCTCCGCTCTCATTTAGGATGACCCCATGAGCCCCGCTCCCTGGTGCTTCCATGGGCTGGAAGGGTCTGGGACTCCTGGGCCCCTGGCTGCTCCTTATCATTGCTATGCCTCTCTTAACAATAGAATAAAACAATCCCCAAATGCAAACCTCTTGGAGACATACTGGCTTTAGCAGTCAGAACCTGTTCAGAAAGAAGGAGGCCCAGACACCACTGTGCTGAAGACCCTCAGCTCCGCGTACCGGCTGCCTTCCAGAAGGAAGAGGAGGCTGAGGCCAAAGGAGCAATGGTGCCGTGCGCCCCAAATGGAAAAGTGCACATCTTGGCAGAGCTGGCCCCAGGCAACTCCGTGGACCCCAACGGAAGACATTCTGGCTGGGGGTGAAGTCCCAATGTGCCTTTGAGCATTTAATTCTGATCGTTACAAGCCAACAGAACGGTGATACCAAAGCAAGGGAAGGGTTATAGAGATGGATACAACCAATCCTTTAGAAGTGAAATGTGAATTCTTTTCTACATTTAATAAAAACATTTTCTCATTTGAGGCGCTGGAAGTCTTGAGTCACATTTTTCTTTCTTTTTTTTTTTTTTTGGTAAATCCCCACTCCCACCCCTCAAATGTCTTAAAACACATGGCTTAACAGTGGCTATACAGAAAATATACACCCTCAAAGTCTGACTTTCATTTAAATACAAATATACAAAATGTAAACTGAGACAACAGAGAAATTTACAAAACTTTTCTTTAAAAATAACGAAGACAAAATTCAGTTCTAGTTATGACGCTATTAAAATACGTGCAAGTTGTCGTATCCAATTGGATTTCTATTGCAATGTTCGACCGAGACACATCTGATCCACCTCGGCCTGAGGGCCGCCTTCGAACACAGACCTGAGTGGAAATCTCTTTGAGGAACCTGGAGGCTCCACATCGAGGAGGTGGATGGCCTCCTTCCCCGGCTCCGGGAGGGCTCCCCTGTCCGTCCTGCCAGTGCGGAAGCTCCACTGGGCACAAGTCCACTTCCAAGGAGAAGAAGGGTCTAGGCTGGTCCCACCATGGACTTCAAGGCCGGAGCAGCAACTAGCTGCTTCCAGTGGAGTTTGAGCTGACATGGTTTGAATTTATGTGGTGGTTAAAACTGGTCTTGGAATTGGGCGAACTCTTGGAATTGTTCTGATGCTGGGAGGGAGTTGAACAGGGAGGAGAGAGAGATGGAGAGAAGTTAGTCATGGTAGAGTCGAGCCCTGGGCCCCTCACATCACAGGGACCTCTAGATCTGAAAACGAAGACGGGGCTCAGGACCCCCGACCAGCTCCTCTCTTGCTTCCTACTGCCTCCTGTTCTCCCCCTGCAGACCCTGTCCAGAGGCCACGCCTAGGGGCAGAGGGCGTTATCGGGTGCCTGGGAAGAGCTATGCAATTAATAACCCAAGGCAGGGAGGAGGTGGCCCCTCCGACTATGTTTAGGTGGTTAGGCCTGCAGGCCCGGAGTCAGGCTGTCAGTTCGAATCCGAAATCTACCCCTTCTTAGCTGAGGGACTTTGGGCAAGTTACTGACTCCCTCCATTGTCTTGCCTGTAATGTGGGTTAGGAGCCACTTCTGCCCAGATCTGGAGAAGGAAACAAGACCGTGTGTGCCCTGAGCTCTATCTAGCAGGTGCACGGCCTGGGAACCACAAGCTGCTTGTCCTCAGTACTCTGGGCACCCTCTGGGCACCCCCCTGGGTGCGGGTGTCTCACGTCACAGGAGAAGAGAGACTGGAGAGTCCCATTGGTGGTTGTGCTGGGCACCATGAGAGGCCACTGTCCTCCACCTCACTCAGTCCTCTTCCTAACCCTGGGCAGCGAGCTTTTCCATCCCGATTTTTCAGGTGGGCAAATGGAGGCTAGGGGAGGTTCAATAAGCTGCCACTCAACCAAGAAGGGTCAGGGCCTCCACGGAGAGTGCTTAACCCAGGACCTGGGGCCGTCCTGGGGGGCTCGGCCACATCGGGGGATGGGACAGGTAATTTCTTTCTGGAACTTCAGTTTCACTTGGAAGCATCTGGAAATTGTATTTTTAAAGTAGATGGATATGAGTATGTTATGGAATAGGATGTGAGACTCACATGATGTTTTTAGAGAAAACCGCAAACTTGGGCCTCAGTCTGCATTTTCTCTCCATGTGCCTTAATCTGGGGTCCCGGCTCCATTATCCTAGATCGTCACCAGGGGCTCACCAGCTGAGTGACCTTGGACAAGGTCCTTAGTCTCAGTTTCCTCATCTGTGAAATGGGGTAATGGTAGCGCCTCCTGGGCTCACACTTCACTTCAAGATGTGCCAAAGGAGGGATGTGGTTTTGCTTGCTGATGTATCTCAAGTCCTCAGGGAACAGCCTAGCACATAGTAGATACTCACTACGTATTGGTGGAATGAATGGACAATTGAATGAAGGCCTGGGGTTTTGGGGAGATTATATAAGAGACGTCTTCAAAAAACACCCAGCACAGGGCCTGGTCCATGGTGGAGCTCCACAAACAGCCACCTCTTCCCTGTTATCTAAGTGGGAGGGAGCTGGGATTCCCAGGGTCAGGGGACAGAGCTGCACCTTCTCCCACCTCTTCATCCTCCGGGGGTGGGGGGCTGCTCCCTTGCAGGGAGGAGGAAAGTAAGGAACCAGGGGCCTCCAGGCTCCGGGATGGGAACACTGGGTCCAAGCCTTCTCGTAGGGCCAGGCCAGGAGGGGGCGCTATTGTGGCCATTTCTTGGTGGCAGGGCTGAGGTTAGAGGTCTCCCACACTAGAAGGCCTGCTGGGTCCTTCCTGGGACATTTCTTCCATTTGGCTCACACCAACCCTTGATCCAGGGACAGGTTCTGAGGGAAGACACCTTTTCCTAAGGTACATTCACCTCTGACTGCCGGCTCGAGGGCACAGCATCAAACTAGGAGGGACCCACCTCAGGAGCCATGGGGTTCTGAGGTCTCACCTCTCCAACATCTGTACCCCCTGTTCTTTGTTATGTCAAATCTTGATCTACACAACCTGCATCTGTCTTTACAATGGCTCTCAGCCAGGGGCGTTTTGTACCCCGGACACTGGACAAGGTCTGGAGAGTTCTGATGGACACACGGGAGTGGGTGCTACTGCCATCTGCTGAGTGGAGGCCAGGGATGCTGCTAAATACCTTCCAATGCACAGGATGGTCCCCACGACAAAGAATTAACCCAAAGCATCGATGGGGCTGAGGAACCCTGAGGAAGGGTTAACTTTGGGCTGGTCCTGCCCCTTCTGCTCTGGGGACCCCGTTGCTAGTGGGTTTCAGGGCACTTCAGACAGGCTGCCTGTCCCTTCCAGGCGGCTGCTGCCCCCAGTCTCCCGAGCCCCACAAGTTGCTCTCAATGGCATGGAAGGGCCAGGACCGGGGCAGGGGTCTCACCTGACGCTTGAAGAGCCTCTGGAGCAGCCCTTTCTTCGGCGGTTCCGGAGGGCGGCTTCTGTTCAGGTCTGGTGAGAGGGTACCATTGGGTCCAAACACGTTCAGCTCCTTAAAGCACTCTGTTTCTATCATCTGGAGAAGCAGTCAGAACACGGGCAGCGTGAAGGGCTGCATCAGTCATCATGGGTGGAAAGGAATCCCAGCAGCCCAGCCTGGGGCGACACCACCCGAGCCTGGTCCTGCCGGGTCCTCCACCTGCCTTCTGTCTCGCCGGGTTGAGACCCAGACAGCTCCCCGCCTGCCCACTGCCTCTCCCCTGACAGCCGGCCACAGGGGACATGGAAGGGGGCAGTATTCATCTTCCAGTACCTCAGCCGCCCCACCCCGCTCCCCCTCCACCCCAATGCTCCAGTCCCCCCTATTTTCAAGGCTGCAGGACCCCTGCCCCATCTTTTCCATCCCCTCGGGCCTCCAGCTGCTGCCCCATTTCTCATCCCTCCCAGCCAGACTCCTAAAGAGAGTTATCCAGCCAGGCTGTGTCTGCCTCGCCTCCTATTCCCATCCAGCCAGCTTCTGAGCCGGCACCACACCACGCCATGGTCCAGCCACAGGGACGCCCACCCAGCCGTCCCTCTTCTGCCCTCGTTGCACCCTCACCCCGGGCGAAGCCGGCAACCCTGCCGTACTCACCTCGCTTTGCCACGGGATGGGCACGGAGCCCGTGGAGAACTTGGAGTAGAAGTCATCGTCCGTGTGGTCCAGGTTGACGCCCTTCACGGTGGAGAACTGCTCGATGTCCAGCACGTCCTTGCAGTACACGGCCCGGGGCTAGGAGGGGCACAGCGCTCGTCACCTGGAGCTCTGTTCGCGGCTCCGGCGCCCCCTAGCCAAACCCGGGGTTCTGACAGGGAGTCACCCCCACCCTGGGAACCTGGGCTGCCCTCGCTCAGAGACATCAAGGGGCTCCCAGCTGGGGTGATGAGAACTCAGGGCCCCTTCCTGCCACCACTGCCTCACACAGGCTGCTGACGGGGGTGTCCCAGGAGGACCACCTGGCCCTTCTCACATCAGAGGCCAGTGAGGGGAGGTGGATCAGCATGCAGGCTCTGCAGCCACACAGACCTGGGCTGGGGTCCCGCTGTGGTGCTTAGACACTGTGGGAAAGTCACATATCCCCTGTAGGCCTCAGTTTCCTTGCTGGCAAAGTGGGAATAGTAGCAGCACCTGGCCACGGGGCTGTCGTAAGGACTGCTATGGGCCTGGTGGCCTAACCATGATGATGTTTTATATCTTACTTGCCCACCAAACATGCTCTTGAGCTATTGTGGGGGGATTCACAGAGACAAACCCAGGCCCAGCCCTCTGGGAGTTCAAGGTCAGTTGAGGAGGCCTCTCACAGCCCCTGGGAGCCTGGGATTCTGGAGATGAGGACATCGTAGCGGTGACGGCTCCAGGTTGGGTGGAGAGAGACCCCCTAGGCTGGGCGATGTCTTGCTACTGGAGGATGAGGGCTGCCCACTGCCCACGGGGCTCATCCCCAGCATGAATGTTTAGCTAAGTCGTAGGTCGTAAGTCAGTGCACAGACTCAGTCCAGGCTGGGGAGGCTACTCACATCTGGAATAAAGGGAGGGTCCAACATCCCAGCTTCTAAGCGCTTGAAATTCATGTTCCTGAAGAAGGGGTGTCTCTTGACCTCCGCGGCCCCTTCCTCCTGGCAGCCCAGCCTCTGTTTTGCATCTTTGGTAAGCAGCTGTGACAAGAGAGCCCCATGAGGACGTGCCTGGGGGCCTTTCCTCCTGCCCAGAGGTCTGAGGGGCAGAGGGGCTCCGGAGAACCTGTGGTCACCTCCTTTTCACATGTGTGTCCCTGAGCCCTCCTGGATGTCCCTCCTCTTGCTTGCACTGAGCCCGCCCCAGCCCAGGTACCCAGCAGACAGCACCCAGCTTAGGGTGGCCTCCTGAGCCATGGCGTGCTTTGTGGCCCCCCATTCCCAGTGTGCTTAGATGCCTGGGGCCCCCAGGAGAGCAGGAATCCTCTTTCTCCCTACGACTGCCTGCCCAGTCCCTGGCGCACACCTGGCACCCACTAATGTTTGTTGAATTGGTGTTACCTCTTCTGCTCCAGATAAACTACACAGGGCAAGTGCTGGTCTGGATGTTCTCTCGCTCATTTACTCAACCCACAAGTCCATCGTAGACTTGTACCCAGTAGGTGCCCGGGAGAGAGGACCCTCAGCAAAATCACTTTCTGAGGGCCCATCAAGGCAATAGAGATATGGCACCATGGTGGCAGAGGAGCAAGAACTGGCTGCCAGCTAGGGCGTCGGGAGGCCTCCTGGGGAAGGGGCATTTGAGACAGGCTTTCAAAGGTGGGAGAAGGCATCGGTGGGGGGACCCGCGTCACCACAAACAGGTTAGTAGGAACACACAGGGTGTGTTTGGGGGACACCCATCTTTGAGTTTGAGTGAAGGATAAGGTGAGAGGGATGGGTCAGGGTGAAGGGAAATGGTTAGGGAGAGTGACAGAGGGACCTGAAGGCCAGATCCAGAGGTGAGATTTTCATCTGGAGGTACTAGGGAGCCAAGGATGGTTAGAGTAGAGGAGTGTCCTCAACTGAACCAAAAGGCAGGACGGTTAACAGGAGAGGAAGGCAGCCAAGCCAGATGGGAGGAAGGTGTGATGGGGTGGGGGTTGGGGGAAGCAGGCCTCCCCTGACGGTGGGGCAGGGTCACCAGATGACCACAGGGCATCAGCCCCTCCCCGCAGTCCCAGTGTCCCTGCCCTGTGCTTCTCTCTCCTCCCTGCTCCACCGAGCACCGCACCATGTATGCAGTTGGAATCTACTCAGTGTCTGCTTTGAGACTAAAATCAAAGCCTTCCCCTCAGAGGGAGTCGTGTTTCATCAGTACCCTGGTGCCCTCTGCACGTGCTCATTGAGAGCCAGCGGGCAGGGGGCCTCCTGGGGCTCACGGTCTGGAGGGGAGCCTTGCTGGGGCTGTCCTCCCGCAGACTAAGGAATGGAAGGTGGCGGCGGGGCAAGCACCAGGTCATATCCTTGCAGGGGCTAAGCCATGACGCAGCCGCTCACAGTGTCACCCTTTGGTCCACTGACCACCCAGGCACGTTTTGCACATGGGGCCGGGGCCTCAGATGCTCTTCTCCCAGGGCTTTGTTCAGAGAACTCCCAAGAGGCCGCAGACCTGAGAGCCTGCAGGGGCTGGTCAGATGACACAAAGGAGGGCAACACAGGTGCGGGGTGGGCCGGGTGGGCCGTGCCAGGCTGCCCATCAGCTCCTGCCCAGCATAAATGTTGGCCTGTGTCCAGGGCTTGCTTCTGCTTTTTACAAGAGAAGCCAGAAAATCCAGGTTTTTATGTGCACTCACCCCATTTAAAAATCTTGACCTACCAGTCACCTCTTTCTAAGACACTGTGCCGTCTGAAATAAACACTCACCTATATGCTGCAACCCTGGACATCAGGTAAAAAGTTCGCAGATACAGTATCGGGTATAAACCAGAAAAAGCAAGAGGAAGAGATGGTGGGAGCTGGGGTGGGTGGGGCAGGCAAATGGGCCTTCCTGGAAGAGGAGGACTAGAGATGGGCTGGGGGATGGGTGAGACTCAGAAGGCTACAGAGCCAGTGGGGAAGGACTCAGTAGGGGCCTCAGGAAGGTGGGCTGAGGTCTGGGTCTAGGAACTGGACCCATGGGATGGTGCAGTGAGATGCATTTCTGGACACCAGGGGCAGTGGAGGAGGTCTTGTGGCTGCTAAGATGTTATGGGCAATAGAATCTGGGGGCCAGGGACTAGCTTCCTTGTCATCTGCCTTCTTCAGCAGGTGGGGCTGGAGCTATCTGGGGCCCCCATGGTCTCCTTAGAGTCAGGCCGTGCTGTGTCCCAAGTGGGCATCCCATGGTGGTGACAGAGCAAGCCTGGCTGCCAGACCAGACGGGCTGTGGTTAAGGGCGCAGAAGCCCAAGACCCCAGGGTCATTTTTTTAGAAGATGGATCAAGGCCAGAGGCCTTTAAAGGTTCTTCCAGCTGAGAAAGACGAGGGGACCTTGGTTTGGGACTTGCACTTTCGGACCCGGGTCCACCTGGAAACCCAGGCTCAGCCACTGCCTTTTCTTTAGTGGCCACCAGGAGGCAGCAGAGGACCAGCAGTGCCCCTGGTCCTGGCCCCAAAGCTGATGACTGTGGGCAACGAGGGGGCCCTCTGTGCCTCTTTGTCCTCTCAGCATGCCCCCTGCCCCTGTTGGGGTCTCTCAAGACCTGCTTCCCTGAATCCCCGACCCTGACCTTGGACATTTGGTGGTGCTCTGACCTCCCTCTTCCATCCCTCGCCCAGTTAGGTCCCACTGGATGGACACCTTGCTACAACATAACTAAATATTGTTGGCATGTCCCCCCAACCTCTGGTTTTCAAACATCCTTAGGACCCCCCATTTCCATGTACCTGCCTTTTTCTGCCTCGCTCCTCTGGCCCTCCCACCCCAGCTCTGGCTGCTGTGACCACCTGTTTTCTTAGAGGCCCCAGACACACAGGCAAGCGCCCAGCTGTCGGCTGGCCCCCAGGCCATGTGGTCGGGGCAGGTGTTTGTCTGTGTACACGCCTCCCCTCCCTCAGTGTCTCTCACACATGCAAATGACAGATCTATGGTTCCTCTTCCTTTGGAAGTGGGCAGATGGCAGACCTAGCCCAAACCCTTCTTTCCGTGACTCTGTGACGTCAGACTGAGGCTGGTAAGAGGAAGTGGTCAGATGGCTCCAGGGGGGTGGCTTCTGGGGGCGGGAGCTATGCCAGGTGGGTCCTGGGCCCCTGGCAGCGCAGCCCAGGGTTTTCTACAAGCAGAAACTTTGCTCCTTTTAATCAGCTCCCCAGGCCTGCCCTTCCCTGCACTCCAGCCTGGTTGTTTACATACAGGATTTGGACAGGTGGGAGGGAGGCAGCCCCACCCTGAGGGCCAGCTGGCCTGTCTGGAGCCAGATGCTCAGGCCCTTTCCGTCCCCATGTGGCTGGCACTAGAGGGCAACTGCCTGCAGTGGGGCTGCCAGCACAGCTGGACAGGCACCAGGAGGAGGAGGGCCCCGGGGGCACAGGGGGACTTGGGAGTCTGGGAGCCAGGCGGGGAAGGAAGTGGGTCCACCTGGGCCCAGGGGGACAGGGCCGCAGTCCAGGGGTGGGCTCTCCCAGCTCCACTTTTGATGGCTCCCATCATTCCTTCCTCCATCTGGCTTTCAGCCCCCACCCCCAACCCCATCTTGGCTCCACCCACCCAGCTGTCTAGGGTCACTCTCCGAATGAGCCTGGCCTGTGGCCAGGTCAAATTTCACTATCCAGAGATGCTGACACACAGGACCCCAGCAAGTGTGACCAGTGTTCCATTGAGTGGATGGATTTGATAATAAGATGCTCAAAGACTGAAATTATCATCGTCTACCTCCTGCAGACCCTGGCCTCAAGCCAGCACCCAGGGACCCAGAGTGGGAGGAGCAGGCCTAAGGTCAAGGGTCAGGGCTTTCCTAAGATTCCTTTGTATCTTGGAGACCAGCTGGGATCATCCCTTTCCCACCCAGAGCTGGAAGTCAGGGTGTCTCACTTCAGCCCACCTCCTTTGTCACAGGGCTGCCCCGCCTCCACCCCAGGCTCCTGCCTGGAAGCCTTGGCTACCCACCCCAGGCCACAGCCAGGAGTGCCCGCTTCTCGGGCCTGGTGGCTTCATGGCACACCCGAGTGTGCCCTGATCCTTTGACCTTCAGCCTGTTTGCTGTTCTCTGCTGGGGGTGGGGAGGGCAGCCAGCACCAGACCCCCAGTCCAAGGAGAGTGTCTGGCTCACCGGGAGCTCACCATTTTGCAGATGGACTTGGCCTCCTCGGAGAACTTGTGCGAGTACACCTCCTCGGTCTCCAGGACCCGGCGGTCCACCTCCTCCCTCTTCACCTTCTCCTTGCGGCCACGGAAGGGCGACTGGCCCTCAATCATCTCGTAGATGAGGCAGCCCAGACCCCAGTAGTCAGGGCTCAGGCCGTACCTCTGGTTGTTCAGGACCTCCGGAGCTGGGAGCAGAGCAGGGGAGCGAGAAGAGGTGAGAGGCAGCTGGTGGCAGGACAGAGCCTGGGCACACGTGACTCATGCAACTGGGCCTCAGGGCATCCTGCACCCAGGAGTGACGGTGCTGCTCACAGCAGGCTGGAGCTTTGTGGCTGGGACCTCCTCCCCCTGCTGACTCCTACCTACCAACTGCTACAAATACCACCTCTTCCAGGGAGCCTGTCCTGGTTGCTTTCCTCTGTGCTCCCAAAAGACTCTGACTGTGGCTTCAGAAGCCTGACCACACTGGATGAAAGCAATCTATTCCCTTGATGTCTCCCCCATTAGAATGTCAGCCACCTTATTCCCTGCTGTGCCCGGTAACAGGTATGACACCTGGCACACAGAAGGGGCTGCACACATTTTCAATGAACAAAGGTGTATCTACCCAAAGTAAAGATGATTTTAAATTTATCTGGAGTTCAAACAGCTTCGCACTATGGCTTCTCTAACATTTTGATAAAATGAATGATAGATTCACCAGAGACATGCAAAAAAGATAGTTTCAGGTCATCAGGCAGGCCACATACATCCAGGGAGGCAAATGCATCCACGCAAATGCAGACAAGAGAGGCTGTGCAGATGGACACCTGCAACACTCTGATACTCACAGCAGATACTCACAAAGGTGCATGGATGAATCTATCGGCCGTCATCTATCCATCATCCAGCTACCCAGCCAGCCATCTATCCACCCATTTGTCCATCCATCCATCCATCTATCCACCTATTCACCTATATATTAATCCATATATTCATCTATCTGTCATCTATTATCTGTCCATCTATCAGCATTCACATGGATACACACACCTCTGACATACACACAGAAACACACACCCCACAGGTTCCTAAATGTCGTGCAATCTGAAGAGGAGCCTCCAGCACCAGAGACAAAGTCCAGAACCCTGAGCATGTGCTGCTGGCGCAAGCCTGGTAGAGGACAACAATGTCGCCAGCACCCAGAGCTTTCTGGAGTCCCCTACTTCCTGCGGTAAGTGGGCATATGTGTGTGAGGTGTGCAGGAGGAGGCCCAGGGAATGTCCCTAATTGGAAGGAGCATTCCAGGGGACTGGCATTGCTCCAGGGTTCTTGCCTGCAGCCCCCAGGATGATAGTCTTGGAGAAGGCTTGAGAATGCAGGGCAGGGAGGCCGAGGCTGGTATCGACTTAGAATTGTACTTTGTGACACTTTCTGGGCTCCTCCTAATGACTCCCCTTCTTCTCAGGGTTTCCCTGAAAGGCTGTCTGCCAACTCACCAGATCCCTACTCCACTTCCCCCAAGGCAGCGCCGCCTGCCAGCTCTGCCCCTGACCCTGGCAGTGGCTTGGCTTTGAGACACAGGTGGGGCTGGGGGTGGGGGCTGCAAAGAGCTCAGTGCAGTCCAGTGGCACCTTGGGGCCCCTGGGCTCCCCCAACCCAGGCTAAGACCTCCCACTTCCCACCATGACCGCTTCCTCTGCAAGTTGCACAAAGAGCCCAGCGGCTCCGAGGGGTGGGCTCTGGGAGAGGCCGCACCCACACTCACCCATGTAGCCGACAGTGCCCACCCGGCCACGGATCAGGTCTCCTTCAGGGATCTTCACGGCCAGGCCCAGGTCCGAGATCCTAATGTGGCCTGAGGGGACACAGCAGAGTCAGCGGGTCCCTGGGACGGTTGTGTGGGAATCTGGTCCATGCTGGGCGGGGCCCCAGACTTGCCACTGGCCCCTGGCATTTCATCTGTCCCAGGAAGAGTGGTACCCAATCTGCCATTTCAGGGTGACTACAGACCCTTGGAAGAGTAGGTGTCAGAGGTCAGGGGTAAATTATTACTTTTTAGGAGAAAAACATAAAGATGCAAAAGGACGCCTGGATACGGGTGGCCGATGGCCAGCCTGCCTCATAAAATGACCTAATGGGCTTCTTGGAAGGCTGAAGTCACAAAGTTTAAAACGCCTTGGCCCGATTCTGGGATTGCTTCATGGGAAAATGTGAGATTCTTCTGACATTTTGCAACAATTTGCTTAAGGGGAAAAATCGTAAGGCAGTTTGGGAAGCAACTCCCTATTCTGCCTTGTTGGTCTTTGGAGGTGGTTTGTTTTCTCCCTTTGGGGAAACAAGAAGGGAGGATGCCCGGGCCCAGCAGAGACGGGGAGGTGGCCCTGGAGCTCCAGGTCCAGGACTGACTCCCAAAGGCTGAGACGACGTGACGCTGAGAGCCCACCCTGGCGCTGTCTCTCCCAGCCGCCCACCCGCCAGGGTCGTGGCCTTATCTGTTCCTGCAGGAAGGAACACTGCCCTGCATCCCAGCCTGGACTTCAGCAAGGCCCAATGCCAGGCACCACCACCAAGTAGGAGCTGCGTGGATTCTCCCAGCTCAGCAGCCCCTGACAAAGGCAGGGATCGGGGAGAGAGCACGCAGGTTCCAGCCGTCGGGTGACAGCCCAGCGGTGGGCACCAGCAGGGAACAAGAACCCCTTGGGCCCTGAGCCCTCTGCCTGCTCTTGCACACGGAGCATCATACTCAAACCTCTCTCCAGGTCACCAGCGACCTGCCTCCCTTCCTCCCCTCTGCCTGGGGCTTCCTGGTGTCTGGGGCATGCTAGGCGGGAGACCTGGTTTCTGGTCTCCCTACTGATATTGCTGCATGACCTTGGTGGGTTGGCTCCTCTGAGCCTTAGTCTTGTCATCTGTAAAATGGGCACAGAGATGCTGGCCCTGCCTCCTCTGTAGAGATGGGAAGATCTAGTCAGATGCGCGGGGCTAAACTGTTGTGAGTGGTCACTATCGTTGCTCCTGTATCCATGTGTGCACACACTCGCAAACACACACACAAGAAGATAACAACTGTGAGGTATAAGTCATGATGCCTGACACTTAGAGCTGGCTAGCGTGATAAAACAATTTCTCCTCTTATCAGAACCTCACCACCACCCTCCATCCTCACAAGAAGGCAGGGCAGGACCCACTGTTCCCATTTCACAGACAGGGAAGATGAGGTGCAGGGAAGCTCGTGGGAGTTAAGAGTCTCTGGAATTCTGGGCTCCTCTTTCAGTGCTCTCTGTCTCTGTCTCCCTGTCCCCGTCTCCTTGCAGAGTCACACTGCTTCTTCACCAAGTAGCAGCTTTACCTGTGCCCTCTGCCCTCCCGTGGGCCCAGGGTCAGTGTCCCCGAGTCTCTGCTGGGAGGGCCTCTGCTCCCTATGGGTTGCGACGCTCACCTCTGCTCCAGAGCAGGGAGAGGCCCCACGGGCGGCCGCCCAACTTACCGTAATCGTCTAACAGGATATTTTCCGGTTTCAAATCTCTGAAAGGGAAAGATCACCAGCATGTGAATGTGGGGGTTCCGGGCAGCAGGGGCGCACCAACATCTGGGTGGACCCCTCGGGCGAACCAGGCCTGAGTGTTTCCTTCCCACCTCTGGGCTCAGGAGGTCTGGCCTCTCTCTGGGTCAAGACAATGTGGGGCTAACTTCTCTCCCTCCAGCAATTTAAAACAAATGCTGCTGTTTGATACAGGTATCTCTCCAGCCCCGGAGGGTGATGGAAAAGGAGGTGGGGCAGAGGCCAGTCTTGGCACCTGTCCAGACTGACAGCCCCGGGGTGGAGAATCCTGGCTGGTGTGATGACAGATGTCCCCCACCCACCCCAGGGCTGGGAAGACCCTGCATCTCAGGACGCCCTGAAGGCAGAGCAGGGCCTGGGAATGAAGGAAGAGAAGTTATTGAGGACAAAGCGCCAGCTGCAGAATTGGGGCAGAGGACTGTAAGGGAGAGAATGACAGACCCCAAGACAAAGACCCCCCTTCAGTGTGGGGCCCCCAGCAGCCTGGCACATTCCCCAGCTCCAGCTGAGCTCCAGCCTGGGAGAAAGCACAGCCAGAGGCGCAGCTGTAGCCGCACCCGCCTCCTCCTGTCGCTAATGTCTCTCTTTTCTCTGACCACAGGCTTATGCTCAGGAGAAAGGGAGCCTCTCCACCCCCAGGAGCAGGGAGAGGCAGCAGAAGTGTCCGGTTTTACTAGTAAATGGGCTTCTCCACGGGTTCAAGGACAACCAACGGCATCACGTGTGCAGCTCAGTTCAGCCATTGCGCAGACGATACATGGCGTCTGGATGGAGAAGCCAGGTCTCAACCAACCGGCTTTGTTCATTAAACTGAGGGCAGCTGTCGTCGTGGGGAGTGGTTCACGTGCCCAAAGCCAGTGGTGCGACCTCACCAAGGAATAACTGGTGTTTGCGTGTAGTTGCTGATTACAAAATACTTCTGGTGCTGCTGTTATTCACTTGCATGCTTCTGATGTGGTACCGTTCCAGATAAGACCAAGAGCCATCATTTCAATTAACCGGACGCCACCGGGTGGGAAAGACAGCTGGCTGGTGGGCACAGACCCCAAACCCTCAGAGAGGCCACGGCAAGTGGTCAGGGCCAGGGAGGCACCGTGGTCCTCCTCTTGCTTAAAAGGGCCAGACCTTGGAGGGGTGCCTTTTTTTTTTCCTTTTTCTTTTTTAAGAGATAAGCAATCAAGCAGAGGATTCTTATTTCAACCCATAGGGAGATTTTTCTGACTCTCTTCTCACTTGAATGGAAACAAAACAAAGGCACAAATTGGGAGACGGTGTGGCGAGAAGGGCATTTCATCAAGACCACTCCTTGTTTTCAAATCCTTCTTGGGCTCCCAAGATAATCGCTGCTAAGAGCTCCATAACCAAGCTCTTCCAACTGGCATGTGTGTGCTTGGGGGTCCCCACGTAAACATGCATTTCTAGGTCCTTAACATCATAATGCCGTGTCCTGTCATCCTTTACGGTCTCCCCTCCACATGCCCTTCCTCAGTAGCTCTTCCCTTGACTGACACAAGAAGAACAGGTTCCTCCTCACTCCTAACGGTTACTCTGTTGCCCGGCTCCAGGGGGTAAAACCTCCAGGGTCCCTATTAGAAGCGGGATCTACTAAATTTTTCTAAGGGCAACTCAACAGAAGAAATTACTTCAACACTTAGAGCCTTATGGTCAAAAGAAATTTAAAAAAAAATCTTACACATATCCATGTATTTCAGAGTGGAATGCTCATCAATGACTTTTATGCAAAAAAAATTATTATATTACAGTAACATTCTGTAGGGGCCAGCAGGAGTGAAGAAGAAAATGACAGAAAATGCCTCACTGTTAAAGAGTTTTCATGCATTTTTTAGATGGATGATGGTGGAAATCAATTTGCTGCCGCAATTAGATTCCACTGGATATCTTTAGAAATGTGATGTCACTTTAGTTCAATTTCAAAATATCCAACAGTAGCCATTATTTTAACATCTGATAGTCTATCTCAGATGTCTACGTAAAAACTATGAGGGCACACAGATTTTCAAAATTCTCCGAGGAGGGTTGTGAGAAGAGTCTGAAGACCACTGCTCACAGAATCTGGACGCCTGGTCCTATAAAGCCAGGCAGTGTGGGAGGGACCAGGGTCTGTTCTGGTGCCTGCTTGTGGTGGTGATCTTACGAAAGTCCTTCTTTTGGTTGACTTTGGTTGGTTCCAGATCAGGTCACCAGGCTCCCCTGAGCTTCCCCGGGTGCTGGTGGGAAGGGACTGGTGGCCCAATCTCATCAACTCTGAGGGAACATCACTTCACACGCCTGGGACCCCTAGGGGGCCCCACTCCCTTACTTGCTTCCAGGCTGGGAGTCTCTGCCTCAAGGGGCAATGACAGGGCCTCGACTCCGGGGAAGGCGGAGAGGGCACGGAAGGGTGCTCCCCCAACCCCAGACCCAGACCGGGACCCGGCTGAGCCCGCTCACCTGTAGACGGTGTTCTCGCGGTGGAGATCTTCCAAGCCGCACAGGATCTCAGCTGCGTAGAACAGGGCACGCTCCTCTTCAAAGCCGGGGTTCCCCATGTTGTAGATATGGAACTTAAGGTCCCCCCCGTTCATGATGGTCAGGACCAAGCACAGAGCGTCCTTGGTCTCATAGGCGTAGGCCAGGTTGACCTAGAGCACAAGACAGCCCTGCAGTGAGGACCCGGGGACCATCCCCAACCACGTCCGCTCCTCCTCCTCGGGGTCCTGATGCTGGGGCGAGGGTTAAGGTGGGGGAGCTGCAGCAGCTTCACGTCACCCCCTGCGCCTCGGTGGCCTCAGGGTGCCCCTGCTGCTGCCCCCACACCTTCCATCCGATCTGGTGGGTCACGGCGAGGCGGCAAAGCCAGGAGGGGCAGGCCGGCACCTGCCCTTTCAGGGGTTCTACAGGACGGTGTCTGCGCTTTTATGTCACAACAGCATGTGCATGCATCAGGTGGTTAAAACTTCTGCCCCCTCTGAGTGTCACCTTATAAAACCCGCCTAGCTCCAGGGAATGACACAGCACCAGGTCGAGGGCATCGCTCACCCTCACGCGCGGCTGGTGGGAGTGTAACTGGGGAAAAGTCACACACCCTCTGACGCAGCAATTCCTCTGCCAGGAACCCAACCTGCAGACACCGTCCCAGAAATATGCCAAAGGGATGTTCAAGGATGGACACGGCAGCCTTGTTTGTTGTGGTGGCTTAAAAACCAGAGATGATTTCTATCCTTGGGGACTGGCCGCACAGGTGATGGCCTGTCTCTTCCCTGGGCATCAGGGGAGCGGTGCACAGCTTTAAAAAAGATGCACAGCTGTAGGTCTGATTGCAGGAAAAGATCTACAAGTTAAAGGGAAAAACATTGCAGCCTAAGATTTGTAATAAGATCCCACTGGCTGCAAATAATGAAGCCTGTACATGAATCAATCATGTCAGGAATGGTTACTCAAATGGAGGCTTTTATGTTTATTCCGCACCTGTCTGTGCTGTTTGACTTTCTACCTGTGCATACATTATTTATCATCATAACAAGTGGTGGAGACATGGATGGCTGACCAAATACCCACATCCTCCTCCACGTTTCCCAGCCTCCCCTACAGTTGGCTGGTCACCAGCCGAGAACTGCGGGTGGAAGTGAGGGGTGTCACTGCGGCCGAGGCAGTGCAAATCCCCCAACACTCACTGCCCACATCCCGGGGGATGGGTAGCTGGAAGACGGAGGAGGGTGGTCTGATCAGATGGGCTTTTGTTTGAGAGACAGAACAGCCTCTGTTGTCTGGGTTAATTTGTTACTGCAGCAGAGCCTAGCCTGGATGGAGTGACACATGAATATAAACAGATGGGACCCTGACACTGAGGTCTTCACTGTGATGAAACCAGCCTACAGGGGTCTGTGGAAACAAAGCTCCTTGGCTGGACCCACGTGGGCTTCTTCTGTCCACTGAGGAGTTAACAGAAGCCTCAGTCTCACGCCCAGAGGGAAGCCAGGCTAGCTCCAGGGACAGGGCAGTCAGACAGCTGATCCCTGGGTACCTAGTGATGGAGGAAGCGGTGGGCAGCACCTTTCTGCAGTATCTCCTCTCACTGCATCCCTCGCCCCGGGAGATGAGGACCTGTCACCCTGGAGGACCACTTCCTTCCCAAGGGATGGAAGTCCCGGTCACCAGGAGGGGGCATCCCCGGGCCCCAGACACTCACCACAAACTGACTGTTGACCTTCTCCAGGATCTGCTTCTCGTTCAGAGCCATGGACTCCCCTTTCCTCTTTTTGATCCTCTTCTTCTCCAAGCGCTTGCAGGCGTACATTTTACCCGTGGCCCGAACCTGGCAGGCACAGACCTGAGGTGCAAGAAAGAAGCCAAGGGATGGGGCACATGAAATGAAGCCGGCCTGAAGCGCCCTCAAGGCCAGCGTGCTGTGTCTCAGGGGCTGGGAATCGATGGGGCCAGAGCGGGCCAAGCCCCGGGCTGTGGGGGCTCCCAGCCCCAGCACCCGACGATGCCTGGGGGTGCACTCACTGCTCCCAGGGCCCTGCCCTTCAGACCTGGCTTCGGTGCCGCCTTATCAAATCCTAGCCCTTGAAGGTGCAGAATCAGCCATGTACACCAATGTTTAGATGGCTGGCCGAGGCCTAAAGGAGTGTCCCTCTCTCAGAGGCAACTAGGTTTTCTCTGTCCCAAGCTTCCAACCAGATGTCGCCACTGATAACTGGGGACTTCCAAGCACCAGCTGCTGGCTTGGGGGGCAGTGATGGGAGGCCCCTGGGAACCCTGACAGGAATGGGAACAAGGGCATTTGAGTCTGGTCTTAGTTCTGCCCTATTTACCTGTGTGATCTTGTCTGGGTCACCTAACCGTTCTGAACGTCAGCCTTCCCCATCTCTAAAATGGGAATGACAAGGCTTGCCTCACGTATCGGGAAGATGAGATTAAGTACAACAGTGCATATTAACAGCTTGGTCGGGCCAGGTTGCTTAAGCCCCTCATGCCCTCTTTCCTCCCTCCAGACACAAGCAGCAGCGCCCATTTCTCCTCTCCAGACTTGAACCCTGCCTGAGGCTGGCTCCAAGACCACCTCCTTCTAATATCCACCCTGCCAGGACACATAAGACATGTGGGACCTTCCCAAAGGCCCTGAACCTCCCCCTCCCTCTCCACCAGGGGGCGCATGCCTGACCCATTTGCTTGGAAGCCCTGCTTAGAACACTTTAGGCCAATCCAGAAGGGACAGAAAAGGTGACAAGAGCACAGGAACTTTCCATGAATATGTGAATGTTCACTCACCTCCCCAAAACCCCCTTTTCCTAGTACTCGGTATTGTCTGAAAGTGTTTTTGGTTATCGGTTGCCTGCAAAAAAGCAAAAATCCAACATGGGTCTCATAGTAGAATCCAGAAGAAATAAACAGTATTGAGAGCAGCCAGTGTGAGGCACAATTCCATGTCTTCCAAACCAGGCCCTGGGGAACCCCTGCAATCATCGCTGCAGACAGGACCCTCAAGGACTTGCTTTGGGGCTGGGGGTTCAAATCGCAGGCCACCGCCCCTAGGCCTTGCACTGGGAGGTGAGCAGTCCTTGCTTGCTGGGAGGGAAGGGCAGGAGGCTCAACGAATGTGGAATGTGAGCCGAGGCCGCTTCACCGCACTTTCCCTGTGGTTCCCCTCTCTCTCCCAAATGCAAATCATGTGGGTAAACTCAGAAGGAAGCTGTGTCCTCTGTGCAGGGGGAGGGAAGGGGCCAGGAGCCAGAGAGGTTCGGTGTCCCACGGAGGCCATGAAGGAGACCGCAGCCCTCCCACACCTGCCCAGCAGGACGGCTGCACCTCCTGTCCCCAGGAGCCTGGGGCTAGTCCTTCCTGCAGATGCGCTCCCACAGCACCAGGCTGATCCCCGGGAAGACCTGGCCTCCTCAGGGCAGAGGCTGCTGGTTTCCATGTCTAGTCTGGGTACTCCTTCACCATCAGTTCCCAGCCTTCCCATCACCAAGGGGGCCGTATTATATTCCCCCTTTAGCCCCAAGAACACTAGAAGATCTTGTCTGCCAAAAGCAGTATTCACGACTAATCACTTTGTCTCCTGACTCCCCATTTTAATTAGCTAAAATCATTTATAATGTCAAATGAGACAGAACCTCTGATCATGAGGCTGGGATGGGACTCTTGGAACAAATAAATAAATGGAATTTAGTTGCAGCCAAGGACCCAGTGTTGCAGATAGCTTGTGCTTTTTCATCGCTGGCCTGTTTGGCTAAGAGAAATCAGGTTTTCCCCCCTTTATTCAGCTTTAGTGAGGTGTAATTGACAAAGCGTGTACAACTTCATGTTTTTATATATATAGACATTGTGAAATGATCCCCCAATCAAGCTAATTAACATTTTAACCTACAATGAAAAAGAGTACGGAAAGGAATACGTGTATGTGTATATGTGACTGAAACATTATGCTGTACACCAGAAATTGACACAACATTGTAAATTGACCATACTTCAATTCAAAAAAATTCTAACAGATAAACAACAAGTTCATGCTGTATAGCGCAGGGAAATATATTCAATATCTTGTAGTGACTTATGGTGAAAAAGAATATGAAAATGAATGTATGTATGTTCATGTATGACTGAAGTATTGTGCTATACCCCAGAAACTGACACAACATTGTAAACTGACTATACTTCAATAAAAATATATACACACAAAAAAGTTCTACCACCTCACAAAATTACCATTCCCTCCTTCCTTTCCTTTTTTCCTGCCGTCCTTTCTTTCAAGAACACTTAAGATCTACCTTCTTAGCAAAGTTCAAGAAAATAATACAGTAAACTGTAGTCACCATACTGTACATTAGATCCCCAGAATTTATTCTTTCTGCATAACTGAAACATTGTACCCATGACCAACATCTCCCATTTCTTCATTCTCCCCCTCTACCCTAGCAACCACCACTCTGCTCTCTGCTTCTGAGTCGGACTATTTTAGATTCCATATTTAAGTGAGGTCATTCAGTATTTGTCTTTCTGTGTCTGGCTTATTTCACTTAGCATAATGTCCTCCAGGTTCATCCACATTGTCAAAAATGGAAGAATTGCCTTATTTTTGAAGGCTGAGTAATATTCCACTGTATAAACACTATCATATTTTCACTGCCATGTTCTTTGCAGCCAAGATATGGAAACAATCTAAATGCCCGTCAGTCAATTAATAAGTAAGAACAAGCAGATATGACGATGTTAAAACTGGCTCTTGGATCTCTAGGACTATTTTTGAGCATCCCCCAACCACACCCCAAGAGTCTCGACGAGGGAGGGGACTGGAGCAAGACTGAAGTGGGCCAAAGAACTGGGTCAGCTCGAGAGAGAACCTTTGGTCACCCAGCCACTCTTGAATGAATCTCCCGTGGAAACTCTCTCGCTGCTGGGTCATTTAGAAGGTTTGGGTTTCACCGGAAATCACAGCTTTGGCAACACACTGTTCTCCTAGGACAGCCCTGAAAACTCCTGGGCACTCCCTGGCACACCTGTCTTGGATTCATGCGCTGTGACTCACTCTCTCTTCTCTGGTGTTTCTTCGGGAAGTGGGGCCCTGGCTGCCCCTCTGCAGGACTCCCCCTTGCTCCATATCTCACATACCAGCAGCCCGGCCGAGAGCAGACCTGCCATGCGCCTGCCTCCGCCATGCGGCCCTGGGAAGCGTTTCCTCCAGCTGCCCTCGAAACCACATGAAGGCGTCAGGGCCTAATAGTTTACGATACATGGAGAACAAACAGTCGGTCGACATTACCGCAAAGCTCCTCTGCTGGGGGAAATGAGTGTAATACAATTTCCGAGGAATTTCTTGGTTAACCTTGGGAGGGAAAAAAATCCCTTTAATATTTCAACAGTACAGCACCAACAGGCCATGATCTTGTTAGCAAGGAAAGAAGGAAGAGGGGGGCAGGCGGGGTGCTGTCAGTCATTTACGGCATTTCTAGGCCAGGGTTCTGTCCTACTGGCTGCCACAGCTTAATGCTCCCAAAAGGGCTTAACTTTGCAGTCAGCACACAGATTTGAAAAGTCCACTTCTCCATTTCATGCGTTCGGTACTGACAAGCCAAGTGAAAGCCAGTGGTCACAGCTGAAGGATTCCATTGGAACAGGAGTATTGGGTGGACTAAGGGTGAAGGATTTGAGTGAGGAATCTGGGGTTCAGGTTCCAGTCTAGCCAGGCCCTTGCTGTGTGACCCAGGGCTAACCCATCAATCTCTCTGAGCCTTACGTCTTCAGGAAAATGGAGATATTGAAAAGGTATATGTATTCAAAGACTCTTTGTAAGCTGCTGAGTGTCACCTGTCATTATAAGAACGCTGGGAAACAGGGTGGGGAAGGTATAGTTCAATGGTAGAGTGTATGTTTAGCATGCATGAGGTCCTGGGTTCAATCCCCAATACCTCTATTTAAATAAATAAGTAAATAAATAATAAACAAATAAATAAACGTAATTACCTCCCCACTAAGAAAAACCCATAAAAACAATAGAACTCTAGGGATAAAGGACCCGGCCCCTGCTGGGGGGTCTCCGTGGTAACAATCCTCACTGCTCAAAGCAACTTGCACACGGACTCGTGTAATCCTCACACCAGCCTCTGGACGTGAGACTATCCTCATTCTGCGGATGAGAATGCTTAGGCTTCAGGAGGTGAAACGAGATGCCCGAGGTCACGGCTGGTCAGTAGTCCAGGCCGCCTGCTGCAGAGCCCACGACCAGCATCCTGGGCCCACGCCGCCACCCTGGGAAGGGGGGTGCGTTACACGGCCCAGGGCCCCAGAGTGGCAGGTGGGGCAGGATGAATCCCTCCCCAGCAGGCTGTCGGCCGCTCCCTTCAGCACCAGCCGTGGAGCTCATCACAGGCTGCGGTGATGCCGACGAGCTCGGTGACGACTCGTCACGTCGACTGCACTCAGCAGTTCGCCTTCCAGGGCCTAAAGGCTGACTTCGTTCAGATGTGTGCAGGGCCACCTCATCTCATCCCGACCCCACGACACGGATGGGGAAACCACGGTGTGGAGAGGGGAGCCTCCTCCCCAGGCCCCCCAGGAAAAGGACTCAGGCCCAGGCAGTGGGCTCCATGTGGCTGATGCTTGGCTTCTGTGTCTCCTGGGGCCATGATGTGCCCAGGCAAGGTGGCCAGTGGCAGGCTTGTGCCAAAAGAGAAGGCCACCCACTGCTTGCTCTGTCACCCCTGTCGGTCAGAGTAGAAAGGAAAGTCCCCCATTGGCTGCAGGGCAGGGTGTGTTCTCAGGGAGGGGCCATGAAGTTCGCGTCCTGCAGGTTCATGTCCTAAGCGTCTGCAGGGGACTCGCCGACACAGGTGCAGATACACGTGCAGGAGCAGGAAGGCTCCTGGCTGTCTGACCATGGCGTGCCCAGGTGGCTGTGAGTGCCAGGCCTCCGGGGCACAGGAACCCTGGGTGGCAGGAGAGGATGTGCCCACCTCACCAGGTTAGCCAGCATAGATTTAATGCAGGCATTGCCCTATCCTGCAAATCCTGGGATGCTGTGGTGGGCAGAACACTGCTCTGGGCCTGGGGCCAGGGTCCCCCCTTGGCTGCTCTAATGCCTGCGGGGTAACCTGGCAATCCACGTGCTCTCTGTCTCTCCTCATCAGTCACAGGGAGGCCACCTCTGCCCCGCCACGTCCCCACCGTGCGCGTGAGAGCACTTTGCAGAGAATAAGGTGGCAAATAAAACAAATGAAAAGACACCCGGTCTCACTTATGATGAGAGATGAAAAGATAAACAAGAAGGAAACCTGGCTCTCACACGCCAAGAACAGTGTTGATGAAGCTGAGGAGAAGCAGGTGCGCTGGCGCTGGCAGGACTGGGAATGCGGGCAGCCGTTTGGGAGGGCAATCTGGCAGTCCCTGCCAATTTAGAACCTGTGCCCCTGACATTCCTCTGCTAGGAATTTCTATGTTTGTATCTGCAAAAGTACATAAAGGTATGTGTACAGAGTTGTTCATTACTTAGGGAAGGTTGCACACAAAATTGAGAGCAACCTCCATGTCCATCATTAGGGGCTGGGTTACACGGGAGATGCGCAAATCTTTCTAAGACCATGGCCATTCCTTATTTGCTGGCAGAGAAAGAATTTCCAAAGACAGTGAGCCAGAGAAGTAAGAACCAGATGCTGAGTGTATGTGTGCATGAGTGTGTGTGTGCGTGTTAATAAGCATACGGCATTTCT